AAGTCTGTGTGTGTGTGTGTGTGTGTGTGTGTGTGTGTGTGTGTGTGTGTGTGTGTGTGTGTTTGTGTGTAGAAACATGCAGCGGCTGCAGCAGCGGGCCTTCCACAACACCTTCCACCCCCTTCCCCACCCCCCGCACCTTTTTCCATTTTATTTTATTTTTTGCTCCGAAAGGCCTCAAAATTGTTTTGGGGGGTCCCCTGGTGGTGCGCAGCCTCCCTCTCCTTTTTTTATTTTTTTTGCTTTCCAGATTTGGAAAAAATTAGTTGTCTGGGATCCCGGACAACTCTGCACAGGATGTCTGGCCAGGACGTCCGGCCAGGACAACTGGCCATCGGACAACTGGTAGCCTAGATGACAGGTCTCCTTCTCTACTCAGACGACGCTGCTAGGGGTGGATTCGACTCGGCGATCAACGAAGATCGGGAGATCGATGTCCCACCAATCGGCAGTGGAGGTAAGATTCCGATACGAAAGCCCGCACGACAGTCAGCGCCATTGAAGCTCCTTCACCAGGTATGTGGCGAAGGAGGTGGCAGAATTCCTGATACGACTAAGACTGCTGGAATCTGACGTGATTAGTGCCAACAGAGCAAGGTGGCAACGTCGCATGCCGGCTGAACGTGGAGGGTGCATACACAGGGCATGTTGTTTTGGGTGAGGTGGGGTGAATACCGCCTTACTATTAGAATTGAAGGGTGTTGGGCCATTGGCTGTAGCATCGGGTGCGGAGTAGTGTTCGGGATTGCACGGTATCCTATGTCTGGACGCGGGAGAGGTAAAGCAGGCGGGCGTCGAGGCCGCTGGTCCAATTGTGGACGGTATTGGATGGAAGGCAGCAGCGTGAACCCTGGTGGAGGACAACCTGCGGCATCGAATCCAGCCCAGTACAGCGGGAGCGGTCCTGCCACGAATGTATACCCCCCGGGGGTGAACCCAGCACAGTTCACCACGGCATTTCAGGCACCAGCTGGAATGCCTGTTGTAGGGCCAACCGCAGTCCCGAACATGGCGCCTCAAGCTTCAGTGCCATACCAGGCGGTCGCCCCGACAGTTAACCCGTGGAGTATGCTGCCATGGCAGAACACCGGCCAATGGCCGGTGAACGGGCAGTGGGTGGGACAGCCTCCCAACCCGCAGCCTGTAGGGAATCAGCAGCCGAGCAATCAGACGCACCAGCAACCGCCAAATCAGCAAGCAGCAGTTCCACAAAGTATGGGGAACGGAGGCAATGCTGGGAAAGGCCCAGCCGCAAATGCTTTCCTTGGTCCAGGGAATCGAGCGTATTTCACGAAAGAGTATATGGACATTCTGGAGGATATTAAGCTGAACAAAGCCATTGAAGACGCCCGGAAGAAGATTGCACGTGGGAGGCATGGTGTTGTGCGGAATCAAGATGTACCTGATGAAGGGAGCAGATCTGAAGTACGATCGGCTGACAAGGTGCGTTCTGCCTATAAGAGAGACGAAATGAAAGCTTGGGTGACGGCGACACTAGGTGACTCATTGAAGCTAATCACGGAGAAGCTCCAGGAGGTGGATCAAAGAGCTAAGCTAGCGGCAGCAGAGAAGGGCGAACTCATTAAGCTGCGGGAGGCGAAAGCTCTGCTCGAGAAAGAAAGCAAAGATCCGGGGAGCAACGAGAAGAGGAAGAGAGGAGGGGAATGCACCCCAGTAGCTAACTCACCTCGTGTGAACCGTGTGAAGTCCCGTACTAGAACGAGTACCAAGACCATGCCGCGTTCGAAGAGGATAGTGGTATCATCGGATGAAGAAGACGGCGGCACGGTCAAGCAGAATCTCCAACCCAAGATGGATTCGAGCAGTGAATTGTCCGATATTAAGGCAATGTTTGCAGCCCTCTTACAAGGGATCGACGACGCCAAAGGGAAGGCACCGGTCATCGAACCCAAGGCGGCCAAAGTAGAAGCTCGCGAGGAAGAGGAGGGGACCGAAGACGTCGATGTAGTGCAGAACGAGCCCATGCATGTCGAGGAGTGAATTGTCATTTGAGTATGCGCTCACGTGCGCACATGATCTGTATTGGTATTCGAGCGCGCGCCCATGCACGCCCAGGCTCGGTATTGCAGTGAGAGTGCGCGCCCATACTCGCCCGAGTTAGATATAGCCATTTGAATGCGCGCCCATGTGCGCCCACGCTTGGTATTGCTCCATGAGTGCGCCCGGGCTCGAGAAGGCTACACAAGTGTGTGCTCTGATGATTTTGGAACGCACGTCCCGCCGATATGATGGTCGGGGACGCATGCCCAGCGAGTGTGATTAGTCTTGATGACGTGAGTGAATGCCTCTGATGGTATGACTAGCCCCAAACCCCAACTGATTTGATTTCTTGCTGATCAGTCTTTGCATGGACGATATTCATATAAGACCCTGTGCGGACGATATTTTTCCTGCACGCATGATATCAGTGCAGTCCGGTTTGCACGCGCAGTATTTTGCAACTGGCCTCTGCATAGATAATATCTTGATGATCAGTCTCTCTCAGTGACGATACTTGTCGTTCAGTCCTCATGTTCTAGTCCACTTGCTGCAGAGATGTTCGTATGATGTTGCTATGCTGAGCTGATGAGTTGCTGTTCAGCCGGGCCCATTCAGGCGGGCCCCTACATCGAGTTGTTGCTGATCAGCCGGGACCATTCAGGCGGGCCCCTATATCGAGTTGTTGCTGTTTCAGGCG